CTGTTGGAAAACTCCAGCTTCGAAGCTCTCAGCTCCCGGCTGTGCGTTGAAACGGGAGAATCTCGCATCCTGGGCAGGTAAGCCTCATTTCCACAACACTAAACTCTTTGAAGGGGGGTGGGGGGGGTTGTGATCTTGCATTTTTTGCAGCTTTACTCGGCTGTCAAACCAGCGTTGCCTTCGATTTCAGCCCCAATTTCTGTTTACGGAAAGTTCAAAAGTTGTTCTCTTTCACATTTGTCTCTGAAAAGTGACAGAAAGATGGCAGGAAAAGTGTCCTTGTACTGGAGGACAATTATCAGCCGTATGAGGGCGGGGTATGTGTGTGTGTGCGTGTGTGTGTGTGTCTGGGGGGTGTGACGGCACTCAGACGACACAACTGGGCCAGTGGAACAAACGGCCGTCTGTGGGTTACGCAACGAGGAGGTGCTTTACGACTCTGAAGACGTTGTTTACTGTGCGTACTGTGAGGCCTATCAGCAGGCCCCCGGTTATGTAAACCGCCCAGCTGAGTCCAGAGATACCGACGGTGTTGGTTTCATCAGATACGGGCTGGCGGAGATATGCGGAACGCGTGTGTTTCCGTGTGAGAGTGATGACACCCAGCTATGCCGGTTGTGGCTGAGAGTGACGCGGTGCACGCTGTCCTCCCGGTGCCCCGTGCTTATTTTGAAGGCTGTTGTTAAGGCAGCCGTGTACACACACACACACACACACACACACACACGTTACGTGATAGCCGAGTGCTACGGCCAAGGCTGCCTAGAGGATTTGCAGGGCAGCTGTAGCAAAGAATAGGCATCTTTTTAAGTCATTTAAATCTTTTTTAGTCATTTAAAATGACTTACAACTGACTTTTATATATTTATATATATATATATATATATATATATACATACATACATACAGTGGGGGAAATTTGACCCCTTGCTGATTTTGCAGGTTTGCCCACTTACAAAGAATGCCTCTTTTTCCTCATCAGATGGTTATCAATTTTTATAAATTCATATGATGTGATTTTCTGGAATTTTCTTTGGGATTCTGTCTTTCACTGTTAGAATGTACAAATGATTAAAGTTATAGATCGTTGCATTCTTTTTAAGTGGGCAAACCTGCAAAATCAGCAAGGGGTCAAATACTTATTTCCCCCACAGTATATATAAACACACACACATATAGAAGCTTTAAATGACAGAGCACGGGACACTCCTCCATTCTCTGACCTGTGAGGAAGGGCTCACAGAGAGGGGCCGGTGTTGTGGTGATCTTCGTGGATCCTGTGTCTCTGTGGTCATCCAGTTACTGGCCGTTTGTGAGGGAAACACAATCCCTACCGGCCTAAATTTACCCCTCTAGGGTCAGGACACGGGTGATAGCTGCTCTGCCTTGTGTGACCTTTCCGTGGGACGGGGTGGGGGGTAGGGATGGGACGGTTTCTGAAAACCGCCCGAACCGTTGGGTTGGACTGTCTCGGTTCGGTTCGCTTGTGTTGCGTTCGGTTCATGCTGCTCCTTTTTCTCAGAGGGAAGCGTTTACACTCCAGAGCAGAAGGCAACCACCAGTAGGAAACAAGAAGAAGAAGAAGCGAAGCAGCGTAGCCGATAAAAATCAGCGAGCCAGCAGCAGTTTCTAGGTCTGCTGTGTGGGACCACTTTGCATTTAGAGGGAAGCACATGTTGGAATTAGCACCGTTTCTTCGCTTGTAATGCCAGAATCTCACCTACTTTTAATCTCAGACTGTCACAATAATGTATAAAATGTCAGACTCTTTCAGTTTTAACCTGACTATACAAGACATAATAGATTTTCCTAACAATAAACACATACCGAACCGAAAACCATGACCACGAAACCGTGAACCGAACCGTGGATTTTGTGAACCGTCCCACCCCTAGTGGGGGGGGTGGACTGATGTGGTCTGGGAGGCCCATCTTGTTTTCCACCCCCCGTTTTCCGCCCGGTCCTCCAGCTCTCCCTCTGTTTCCCCGCAGGATCGAGAGCTACTCGTGCAAGATGGCGGGCGACGACAAGCACATGTTCAAGCAGTTCTGCCAGGAGGGGGAGCCGCACGTGCTGGAGGCCCTGTCCCCCCCCCAG